ACAGTGGACACCACGCTAAGAGTTTTCAAGCGTTTTTTGCCCGTTTTTTCTTCGGCATCGTGGCAAGCAACCCTAAAATAGACACCATGCAAATTTTTGTCGTCATCCGGGTTGATGTAGTCTCTATCTGACATACAGACGCGATTTTTGCCCCCATTTGGACGAAAATCGAGGGGGCAAAATAGAAAAAAAAGGAAAACAAAGCGGGTGAAAAAATGAAATGCACGATCCAAGGTTCGAACCTGCCTCGTGCTAGTTTAATGGAGAGCAAGAAAACGCTAGACCACATAGTGACCTACCATTCGAGGAAAACTGCCGATATATAGGTCAATATTATGACCTGGCTTAGCCGGAGCCATCACACAGCACCAAAAACAAAAAATGCATACATCACCTGGCGCAGAAAGGTGTGTAGAACGAAGTCCTCCACCAAATTGAGTAAACTTAGGCTTAAACGAAAGGTGAGGTCCATAGCAACACGAAGAAAAAAACAGAAAGGCTTTCCGCGATGGTATCGGCAAGATATGTTTTTTTGAAAAAAGTGGTCCCTAATAGGGGGGTGGTCCTTAATACCCACACTTACTCTACGCAAGTACAGATGCAAGACATCTTTACGGCTCCTCTTGATTGTAAACACCTGGAAGCAGAAAAGAACAGACTGTTCAGAATTGGAGGTGACTGCGTCATGCAATACAAGGCATCCTGGCTATACGTGCCCAAGACATGCTGGTCGTCTCGGCGTTTTCAGACCGCCCCCCCGATGCCCTGCCGCCTTCCGTGTGTGCGTAGAATGAAGAACCAGGAGTACATACTTGATCGACTTCATGAGTCGCAAGGGAAGGGATTGCTGTACCCTTCTCGCGATAAAAATACATCAGGCAGGAACCGCAGGAGGGGTCCAACCCCCCCTTCCTATGTGACCCCGGTTGGGTCGTCTAGCTGGTAGAAGTGGAGGATAAGCGGCCAGAGGGGCAGACGACAGAGTCCAATGATGGGAGAAAAAACAAAAAAAAATTACGTTGTGGATACCTTGACGGGACACTGACCGACATTTTGGACCGAACAACCAGCGGTGCAAAAACAAAATAAATCGGGACATCGGAACCCTGATACCCCAGCAGGAGCAGCAGCAGCAGCAGCCAGATGCATACATAGCGAAAGGTACAAGCTCGGCAGCTTTGCCTGGTACCCAGGGCATTGCATGGTACCCGTCGACTATGTAGAGAGTAGCGATCCGCGGAAAGCTCTCTCTCTCTTCCGTGGAACTTTCCTCTCCGCAAGGGAGAAGGCGCGTTCTACTTCTTGGAGTACGTACTATGCAACGCATGCACGCGCTATTGCGTGTACGAACGCGTGCGCAAATGATATAACCGTGCTCTGCGCGTCTTGTTGGGCACGGGTATCGGGCATGTGCAGGAGGTGTGTTCCGTGCATTGTATCGCTGGCAAGACAGAGGAGCTCGGTCAGGATCTCGCTGCCCGACAACAGTTGCACACGACGGGCACTAACGACGGGAGACTTGTAACACCTATGCCGGAGAGCTCTGGCGTTATTCGTTTCAAGAGACAGATGACACGAGCACACGTCATACACACACAGGTGAAGAGGGAGCATTTACTTCGATCAAAAGGCACAAAAAACTCCTTCACGCGAAACGAGACCATGATGCACACCAGGCGCAGGCGCGTGCGAGAGGTCAAGCACGCACATGAGAAAGTATTCGTGCCCTGTCCTCTCCCTCCTACCTCTATTACGTCCCCACCTTGCTAAGCTGGCGGGTGGTCTTGACATACTCGAGCGGGTACGTCATGCAGATCTCCACCACACCAGAGATACCTCCGGCGAGCACGGCTTTGCCCTTGTGGTTCGGCTTCAGGTGCGCAGGAGGTCCCATTTTCCTTTGGTTGAGAGAAGGATGGTGGGTGGGTGCGCGTTGTTTCCTTCTCTCTCGAGAGCTCTGTGTCGCGTGTGCTGTGCGGTGCGCCGGGTCGGCTTCCGTTCCGTTCGAATCGGGGCACCGCAGATGAGATAAAGGTACACAGGGGGGTGAGATCACGGTATAGCACGACTCCCCGCAGCCCGAGAAAGAATTGTAATACATATGAATAAGTTCCTGAAACCTGCTGCGGTGCAGCAGAGAGGTCTTGGTCTGTGAAACCATCAACATAAACCATGTTCACATATGACATGCGACATACGAGTTTTCCACGCGGTTTTGAGTTAACTGTGCAGCCGCACGTTTTGAATTTGTAAGTCGTTCGTTTGTTAGTCATGATCGTGGAAGTACTGCTGCTGTTCATGTAGTAGTAGTCAGTAGCCTAGGTCTACAGTCACTACAAGATTTCCCTTCATCGCGGAATCTTTTCGGTAGAAGAATTCGTTGTGTTTTTGGAATAAAAATGAAAAGATCAATCCCTTGACCACGTTTTTTTGCTAACAATAATGCTTTCTTGAAGGAACATGCTACATTAGACTAGTGGTGTAAGAGGACTAAGATGATACCATCTGGGCGGCGGATATATCTTATGCATCCAGACCACTTGCCCAGGTTCCTGGCATTTTAGTCCAAGGGTCCAAATCCCATAACAGTAGGAGGTTGTGTGTGGTGAAGAAGCTGATTCGGAGGAAGAATGAATATGATGCATCCATTTACCATCCAAAAGCGCGGGGAAGTCGTTTGATTACATCTATCTCCCCCTGTGTCGCCGCAGCCGCCTTTCAATTGGACGAGCCTTCCTTGCGTTCGAGCTCCTGGGCGCGGAGCGCGGGAGGAGGGGAGGGTGACCGCCTTGGCCAAAAGTTAAGCTTATGAGGAAATAGAACAGGGAGGGGGCACGCAGACCCTATGCCAACCCAACTTCCCCGATTGCATACTTTATCCAACATGTTTACTTAAAACAACCTTGCGAGGAGGGGGGGGGGGGGGGGG